AAAAAAAAAAAAAAAGAAATAAAGTAGACCTGTAATCCCAGCACTCTGGAGGCCAAAGCAGGTGGATCACCTAAGCTCATGAGTTTGAGATCAGCCTGAGCTAGAGCAAAACCCCGTCTCTAAAAATAGCTGAGCATTGTTGCGGGTGCCTGTAGTCCCAGCTACTCAGGAGGCTAAGGCAAGAGAATCGCCTATGACCAAGACTTTGAGGTTGCTGTGAGCTATGTTGCCAGGGCACTCAACCGGGGGCAACAAAGTGAGACTCTGTCTCAAAAATAAATAAGGTGATGAATGCCCACAATACTAAGGAGGAATACGCTTATAGCTATACAGAGTAGGATCTATCCTGCCTGCCATACATGTAGTTGTGAGAATTATGTAAGATTATGTCCACATTAGTACCATGGAACATAATGGATAAAATAAAAGTTTAGCAGTTTGGTAGTTCCCCCAAAGTATAAAACACAAAATGAGTACGTGACCCAGCTAACCCATACCTAGGTAACTACACAGGAAAATGAAAATATATCCACATACGGGTGGTGCCTGTGGCTTAAGGAGTAGGGTGCTGGCCCCATATCCTGGGGGTGGCAGGTTCAAACACAGCCCTGGCCAAAAACTGCAAAAAAAAAAAGAAAAGAAAGAAAGAAAATATGTCCACATAAAAATCGGTATGTGAATGTTCACAGCAATATTATTCAAACAGCAAAAAGGTAGAAACAATTTGAATGCCCATCAGCTGATGATGGATGAACAGAATGTGATCCACTCATACAATGGGTCTACAATCATCAGCCTCAAGAAGAAATGAGGTACGATACACGCTGAAATGTGGGTGAACCCTGTGAATATTGGGGTAAATGCAGGAAGCCAGACACAAAGGGTCACATATTGTACAGTTCCACTTATACCAAGAATAGATAAAATCCATAGAAACAGAAACCAGATTAGTCATTACCAGGGGCCTAAGAAAAGACAAGACTGGGAAATGACTGCTTAGTAGGAAGGGGTTTTCCTTTTGGGGGGTGATTAAAGTGTCTTAGAACTAGACAGAAGTGATGGCTGGCCAGGTGAAGTGGCTCATGCCTATAATCCCAACACTTTGGGATTCCAAGGCAGGAAGATCACTTGGCTGAGTTCAAGACCAGCCTGCTCAACATAGTGCCCGTAGTCCCAGCTACTAGGGAGGCTGAGGTGGGAGAATTGCTTGCTTGCCTCACTGTAGTTCAAGCTACAGTGAGCTGTGATAGCACCACTGCACTTCAGCTGGGATGAAAGAGCGAGACCCTCTCTCTAACAAAAATAAGAAGTAATAATTATGCAATACTGACAATGCTAAAATTCACAGTATTATACTAAATTTATGGTATTGGGTGTAGACACATACATAGTTTTTCAACCTAATATAAGTGTTTAAATTGAGGCCACTGTGTACTAAATGCCACCAAATTATACACATACACGTTAAAATGATTAACGGTCAATTTTATTATATGAATTTTAACTTCAACTTAAAAAAAAAGGAACAAAGTACTAATATGTGCTATCCTCAGAAACAGTATGCTAGATAAAAAAAAAAAGCAAATCATCTGGGCAGCACCTGTGGCTCAAGGAGTAGGGTGCCAGCCCCAGGATACCAGGGGTGGCGGGTTTAAGCCTGGCCCTGGCCAAAAAAAAAAGCACACCATCAATGACCACATTATTATGACTCCATTTATATACACAAAATACACAGAATAACTAAATCTATAGAAACAAAAAGTAAATTAGTGGTTATCTGGGGCCCAGGGAGTCAGAGAGAAATGAGAAATAAGTGCTAAGGGATGAAGGGTTTCTTTTGGGGTGATGAAAGCACTGTACAATTGATTGTGGTGATGGCTGCAAAACTCTGTGGATATACTAAAAGCCACTGCATTGTGTACTTTAAATGGACAGACTGTAGCTTTTACCAGAAGATGTAATGTTTCCTTACCTGTCTAATAAACAGGTTACTGTCGTCATGGTAATCCCCTTCACATATCCCCTGGACAAAGCAAACAGTGTTCTCTCTTCTCCACTTAAAATAATTCTGTCACCTGCCATTAGATTTGTGACAGGGATGGAACCATTTTTACGTTGGAAATGATGTAAATATTGTCCATTACCAATTGCCTTTACGTTTTTTGTTCTGATCAGGTTTCCAATGCAGTTGCCACTCTCTTCCCTAAGAAGGACAAAGAGAGAAAACTTCCATTTACCTCCCATGTGTAGGTACTGTGTTTGCATTTTTCCCTAATTTAATTGTCCATCTGCTCCTTAACAACTAATATTGACGCTATCATTTTTACATTTTCCACAATTTAAAATGAAGTGAAAGAAAAAAATGTGACCAAAGCAACTGAATTGTATGTCACAAAAGTAGATGCAAAGATACACAAAATTCTAACATTACAAGTAACTTATAAAAAAAAGGGTTCCACAAGGACAATGAGATGGACCTTTAGAAAGTTTGAATTTCTGGCTCGGCACCTATAGCTCAACC